ACAGTTATTATGAAAAGATGTTAAAATTTTTGGTAGCAGAGAAAGGCCCCCAGTTCAGTGCATTACAAATAATTATCACCTACAAAGTTGCCTATCATCTGAATTAAAAAGGAACAACCAAATCGTTTCCTTGTGGTACCTGCCTAATATCAAAATAAATAACTAAAATACTGATAAATGAATAATAATTATTGAAGTAGAGTTTCCAGGCTGTTTAGCTTAACAAAACAAAAAGCACAAGGTAAGTCATTCTTATTTCTATTTTCGTCAAAAAATGGAATCTAGGACACATTTTGTTTATTGTCATACATTCTCTTATAAATTCAAAGTCCAACAAACTGGGCGTCCTGTGGATGGGGCAACATTTCATGACAGGATGGACTATAATGGGACTACCTTTTCAACACCTTCAATGTGACTGGAAATTACAAAGGTTCACACAGCAGACTCAGGAATACAAAATGACTAACTTGGAATCACATAGTTTACATTTGCCAGAAGTAGCCAACAATGGGCCTTTTGGTCATAGAAAAGACTATAAAAGGATTTGGGTTCTGGTTGGCTATTTGTGCCAGATACCCAGCACACCAAAAGGTTGACCCATGTATCCCACGGGTTGTGAGGGTCACTTTGGTTTTTATAATCTCATAAAGTATCCATTATTGTCACACTAAACTAAACAGCAACTTACTACTGAAAAAAAAATCAACCATAATATATAAGAAAACAGAAATAGTTTATGTTGAGCCATTAATTGAACAACTGTCTGCTATCGGGGGGGGTAGGGTACTCCCTTATATGGCCTACATGGGGATGTGCCACTGGACAGGGTATGGTTTTCGTCCTCTCTGTCCTAAACAGGGTATACAATTTCGTGCAAGTCTGTCCTAAACAGTGTGCATGATTTGTGCGAGTCTGTTCTAATTATAAACAGGGTGTTTCATGCATCATTGATTTCGTCTTAGTGCAAACGTTTACAGATATTTAGTACCTCATCACCCAAAGCATTTACTGGAATAAATATAAATGCTATTGTTCTTGGCACCTTTGTCTAGCTAAGATAAGTACAAGTTGACAGGTGTGCTTGATAACCTTGTCCCCGTCTGAGGGAGTTGTTGTCCTATCAGGGTACTAAAGTTGAGGGTGTTTTCCTAAACAGGGTATGGGTTTCAAACCCTCAGCGGCTCACCTATAACCAAGACTTAGTATTGGTCGAGTACCCCCACCCCCCCCCCCCGGCCTGCTATCCTATAAGCAAGCTTCGAATTAACTGAACCATAATTACACAATAATTGACTGTATTTGTACCCTTTTTGTAAACGCAACAATCATGTTTATATTGGGAAGTTCAGTAATAATAATCCAGATGGCCAAAACTTCCATATTTTGGCCATTCTTATTCTGAAGTATCCACCTTATTCTGAGCTATCCAAACAGATACTTTGCTATGAATAAGCTTTACACGGCAGTCGTGGTACTGTAATTAAACAGACATTGTTTGCTCCTCGCACTAAATTCTTACAAAAAGAACGTGAAAAACAACTAACCTCTATAATGTAGGCTTTGATCCATATTTTGGAGTAACCATTCGCATCTTGGCCTTTTTCAGTCTTTGTATACTTATCTCTTTGAACACAACAAGGTCGTGAAGAGTCGGAGCGATTTGCCGAAAAATAATTTTATTCAGTTCCAGTCTCCGAGCGGATACCTGATTTTGGAGCATCCATTCTAGTCACGACCCTAAGGAAATGTGGTAATCTACCCATCCGAGAAAATTTGGTAATCACGTGACCGTACGACCGTCCGTCCGCACCACAGGGAAACCAATGTTTACTCTCACACTTTCTTGCTAGTTTGGGAGCCCAATAGAGTACCGAAGTGATGACGTCATAAAAATGAAATTTGTGAAATTATGGGATTTGTTAAGCTATTCTGAAAGAACAACGTCCAAGACGCCTACTCGCCAAAAATTAGCAATTCGGGGCAAATTGTCTCTGAGATATTAGCCCAGTTATGCTGTGACGATTCCATACAAATCCTTCTAAATTTGGCTTGGTTCATAAGATTAAGAACCAGGTAAGATTTAGAAGGATTTGTATGGAGTCATCGGAGCATAACTGGGCTAATATCTCAGAGACAATTTGCCCCAAATTGCTAATTTTTGGCGAGTAGGCGTCTTGGACGTTGTTCTTTCAGAATAGCTTAACAAATCCCATAATTTCACAAATTTCATTTTTTATGACGTCACACTTCGGTACTCTATAGAAAACTAACTGCACATCAATGTTGTGATCAATTGACAGCTGTCAAAACAGCATATCCGCTGACCAGTATCACCTGACCGTAGCGCGGGCTCAAGTGTCGTACCATTGAGGTCGAGTACTTTTTTGAAGTTATCCGCTGACAAATTACCAGTTTCAAATGATCGCAGGCTCAAGTCTATTTTTTCCAATGATTCATATGAAATATGTTCTGTTTATGTCACTATGGCCCCGCACTGTCAAGATTTTGATTTCAAACTGACCTCGGACGCGAAAATTCAGCCACTTTTTTAAAAATAAAGGCGGGGAAGACCTTTTCTTACCATGGTCACGCGTCGGTCACGCTCTACGTCCAATTTTTGTACTCTGATTGGTCAAAATTTGACAGGTGAGTTCATGCGGAAAATTTATGCAGCATCTTGAAAGTTGTTTACTTTGACAGCTAAAGCTGACAGAGTTTTGTGTCAACTTGTGATGTTTTTAACTGTCTTTTTCCACTGGATGTACAAAATGAAATACAGCTGCTATCAAGAGTCTTCTGTTATCCATGACTGGTTTGTTTATTGGGTTTTTGGTTGAGAAATGCGTCGCTTGTCAAAATTGGGTAATCCGATTTCGGATGGCATCGTTTTCGTCTTTCACCTTGCTCAAAGCGTAAGAGGGTTTAAAAGTCTCAAGCAACTATGGCCTTCCTTGATATTTTTCAGGAACTGAATCTCGAATGGTAAGCCTGAGTAATTATTGTATTTGATGTTTGTTTTTGTTATATCTAATTTCATGAAGTCGAGCACAGTTTATGCGGCAAGTTGAACATCGCTTGCAGGAGTACTTAGAAATGTCGCGCCTATCAAACGCTTTATAAGATTACACATCGTTATAACTGGAACCATTAAGTAACAAAAAATAATGATAATAAATTCGTTATTATGTTGAAGCGTATCTCCATTAAAGTTCATTCAAACACTCGATCACACTGACAGCTCGCACTAAAAATGAGAACCGGCTGGCCGTATGGGTGATTTTGGAAATTTTTTGAATGGTTTCGATAAAAGCCCACGATTGATCGCGGCAGGTACAAAACGCAGGTCACAGGTCACAGGTCAGGTCACAGGTCACAGGTCACAGGTCACAGGTCACAGGTCACAGGGCACAGGTTACAGGTCACAGGGCACAGGGCACAGGGCACAGGGCACAGGGCACAGGGCACAGGGCACAGAAAACGCAGTAAAAACAGTTAAGACACTCCATTAGGCTTTTTTGTTTTATTTCCGGTTACGCCACAATCAGGCATATGCTTGCCATCGACCATGCTTTCCGGTTTTGTACTGAGGGTTGAACAAGTAAATGGCTAAAGTTACACATTGTATTGGAACTTGAGGAGTTCCTTCTCTGGAGATCGCGAAACGAGGCTTTTTCTTCGCTCCACGCGAGCGGACTTGGAACGAGGCTCTGAGAGGAGAATGGAACGGAAAATAGCCTCGTCTGTGCAGAAAGCAACATGGCGGAAGACCAGAGTTTCGAGGTAAGAAAACAGCACTTGCTGACAAGTTATTTTGGCCTCAGTTCCACTGAAGAACTGAAAAATAACTTAGTGAATT